GGGAGGGCAGTGACTGGCTGTCACCTCCTGTCCCTAAGGGGCAGTGGGAGTGACCCTGTGCTAAGCAGGGAGGAGAACTGTGTTGTCCCCAGGGTCATGGTGCCAGACAGGAGAGGAACATGGATGTCCCATGAGCTGCTGGTGCTTTGGGGGTGACTGAGGGGACCTGTGGAGTGAGGCCTCATTTCCTATCCCCTTCTTGGCTCTGTAGGGGGGAAAGGAGGGGGTCATACCTTCCTTCCCCCCTCCCCCCAGCAGCAGCTGCCGGGCAGAGTCCTGCCCTTGGCAGGCATTCCAGGATTCCTCCAGGCTTAAAACTCCCGTCCCTTCCCATCAAGAGGGATTTGAAGCTGGGGAGAGGGGAGCTTAGTTCCCAGCTCGCCCATTACTCCCAGGAATTAGGATCCATTACTGCTCTTTGGGGGGCCCCTGCCCTACATCAGGCACTAATGCCCCGGGCTCAGCCCCGTTTCTGCCTGCCCTGATGTAACTAAAGTGCAGGGGCCAAGATTGTGATCCCATTAGGCAGGATTAGTGCTGAGTGAGGGCCTGGCATTAAAATGGCATCGGCAGTGGAGGGAGAGAGCAGGAGTCAGCCCTATCCCTGTCTCCCTTCCTTGTTGCCAGTGCTTGGCATCCTATTTATCCCATCCATCGCCGCTGGCAGCTCAGCTGAGCCTCGGGATCACTGGAGCAGCCAAAGTGGGGACAGAGTGGTTTGGTGGCACATCTCAGCATGGAGGAGACAGTTCTGGGCTGGCACGGCATGGCATGGCATGGCACGGGAGCTCTGCACTGTCCCGTGCCGCCGGCAGATGTGCAGATGTTCCCGACGCCTCCCTGCACTGCCGCCTGCCTTTGGAAAGTGATGAATTTCTGCACCAACTAATTAGCCTCTAATTAGCAAGTGGAGTGTAAACAGTCACAACAGATGGGGGAGAGGCAGAATTAACAGTAATGACCCTTAGTTTGGGGGGGACGTGGCTGTCACCCACTGGGAGCCCTTGCAGTGGGTTCAGGACAGGGGGAATGTCATTCCCATCCATGCTGGCTCCGTGGTGAGGTGATGGGAACCCCGTGTCCCCCTGATTTGGTGGTGCCATGGCCTGTTGTGGATGGTGGGAGACAGGAGCTGCCTTCAGGGAGCAGTGCTGGGATGGCCAGTGCTGCTGGAGAGCAGTGGAAACGGAGTCAGGGGGGCGACAGGAGGGACTGGGGGTGAGGGGGTGCAGTGCTGCTCAGCACCAAGGTCCCTCACCCTTCTTCCCTCTGAGAGCTGTTGTGGGTGGCCATGGAGAGCTGGTGGGCAGGTGAATACTAGGAACACCTGGCATTATTCCAGGAGATCTCTGGAGATACTGGAACTAAACATTCCTCCTCTCCTCCCACCACTCCCAGCACTGGGCTAGGGAAGCATGGGGGTCCTGGTAGGATGATGAGGATTCCACAGGAGGCCACCCAGAGTTCAGTGCCACCTTCCCCCCTCACAGGGGACACCTGGCACCCCTATCCCCTCTGCCCCTGCCCTGGCTGGGGTGGTGTTGACTCTCTGGGGTGCCAGGGGAGCCGCTGGGCACGAGGTGGCCGCGGTGACCTTCGCGGGCGGATCACCACGGCACAATCCATATGGAATTAGGAGCTGCCTCTCCTCCTCTGCGCCGTTTTTCACCCCTTAATGCAGAACAGATGGCTCAGGCGCTTCAAAGCGTGATGAGCCTTAGCTGCTTAAAATCAAATTAGGATGTATGCAAACGGCGTGCGGGCCCAGGGGAAGGTGTGCCGGGAGCACCCTGCTTCCCAAACGCTTCCCAAACGCTTCCCAAACACCTCCAGAACTCCTCCCAGATGCCTCCCAGGCACTGGTGCTGGCTCAGTGAGGGGGGTGTACTGAGCATACCAGGTCTCAGTCCTACTGTGCTGTCAGAGTGCTCAGCCAGCTCCCAGCAGCACAGCCCTGAGATCCCATGCGACCACCAGTCCCTGGGGATCAGCTCATTGTGGATGGATCCTTGGCTGCATCACACCCAGTGGACCCCCATCTGGTCCATGGCTCTTTACTGGTTTCATGAGGAAGGTGTTTGGATCCAGAGCTGGCACCTGGCTGTGCCATGTCCCCATCTGGGTGCTGTGATAATCCCAAAGTCTCCAGCCCAACGTGGGTGAAGCTCTGGTCATGCAAGGTCAAGCTCCTGCCACACCATGGGGGACACACGTGTGCCCACCCCCCCACGCACGTGTGCACAAGTGACACAGATCCTGCACTGTGAAGTGCCCATGAGCCCAGCAGCACATGTGTTCCCACTCCTTGGGCACTCCAAAAGCTGCAGCTCAGCTGCCACTTCTCCAGACCAGGGAACTGTGTGTCCATGTGTTGGGTTTGTAGCTGGTGGTGCTGAACCCCATAGCCAGGGCACCAAACCACCGTGGTACTGGTGAGCAGCCCTCTGCCCCTGTGCCATCCAGGACATGCTGGGGTGCCACAGGCTCAGCTCCAGTGCCCTGTGCCAGCTTTGCATGGTGCCCTGATGCCCCAATGCCCAGATCCATCCTGGACTCGGGGCAGGGACACAGCGATGAGGGCTGCCTGCTCCAGCCAGTGCTGCTGAAGGTCAGAGAGGAGGATTAAATTAATGAGCCATGAGCTGCTCCTTCCCTTCCTAATGACTTGCCTGGCATCCAGCATCACTGTGCCCAGCCCAGTGCTGGGCAGCTGGGTGTAAATCCGATGGGCATTTCCACATGGGTGAAATAAGGGAGGTGTGCAGGGGCTGGGACCCCAGTGAGGAGTGGAGAGGGACCCCCAGTGCAGGTTTGGGGGTGTCTGTGTGTCTCTTGAGTACAAACCCATGACACCCCACAGCACTGTGGGGCATCAGAGCTGGCTGAGCCCATGGGCACTGCTTCAGTGCTAGCTCACGGTGCAGAGATCCATGGCAGGAATTCAGCTCATGCAGACAAGAAAGCACAGCCCTACCCCAAAGAAAAAACCCAAAGCTGTGATTGAACGTGCACTTGAAAGCTGCTGGGGAATATGAATGTGTCTTTGAAGTAAAAGGGCTTCCATTTGTTAAGCAGAAAATGGAGCTGTGTGGTTCGATTTATAGTTTTACTTAGCAAATAAAACAGGAGAGGAGTAAGTGGTTGTGCCTCGCTCTGCTCCCAGCCCCTCCGCCCCTTCACCCCCCGAGTTAAAAGCTCAGTGCTTAGGAGATGCTACAAAGGCAGCTGGGAATAAAGCAAAGAAGCTGCTTGGATAAACCTGCAGCAGGCTGAGGGCTTGTCCATGGGCTTGTGGAGTGGCTCGTGGTGGGACAAAGGGCAGGGCTGAGGGCCTGGCTGGGGCAGGGGGCTGGAGAGGTGACTGCTGTGTTATGGTTGTGCCTGTGATCATGGAATGGTTTGGGTTGGAAGGGATCTTAAAGATTGGCTCATTCCACCCCCTGCCATGGGCAGGACACCAGTGATGACTGGTCCTGGTGCTGTGGGGCTGGTGGACTGTGGGGCTGGCATGTCCCTTATCCTTTTTCCCTCCTCTTTTCATAGATGATGTCTCCCCATACTTCAAGACGGAGCCAGTGAGGAGCCAAGTGCACCTGGAGGGGAACCGCCTGGTCCTGACCTGCATGGCAGAGGGCAGTTGGCCCCTCGAGTTCAAGTGGCTGCACAACAGTCGGGAGCTGACCAAGTTCTCCCTGGAATACCGGTGAGTCTGGATAGGGCTGTGTCAGGGATTGGAATGTGCTGCCCAGGGAGGTGGTGGAGTCACCATCCCTGGAGGTGTTCACAAGGAACATCTGGACATGGCACTCAGTGCTCTCGAGGTGGTGAAGCATCACAGGTTGGACTCGATGTTCTTGAAGAGCTTTTCCAACCTGAATGATTCTGGGATTCTCAGTGCCCACTGCTGTGCATCTGAGGTGAATCCCAGGCCCTGCTGCCAGGGCTGCCATCCCAGGAGGCAGCACAGAGGCAGCCGTTGGCATTCTGGGAGCTGCAGCTCTGTTTGGAGAGCAAACAGGGAATTTAAGCAGGTCAACACCAGGGAGGAGGTGTTTGCACAAGCGGATTAACACCTTAACACGGGGCTGCGGATCACAGCCGGCTCGTGGCTCCCTGAGAACAGCCAGACCAGGGAAGGGGCAAGACAGGAGAGTGCCCAGATCTGGATATCCAGCCCCCTGTGCTGACTTATCCTGCGACAGAGGAACTCCAGCCCCCTGGAGCTGGCCTTTAAATCAAGGCGGGCACCTCTCACATCTCCTCTGAGTGCGTGTGTCATCCTCTCTGTTTTAATCAATAATTCAGGCTGAGACAAGCCGTTCCCCGTTTAAAGGCATCGAGTCCAAAGGCTTCGTGTTGCTGTGGCAACGCGGGGCTGCTCCGGGATGCCAGGAACGCAGGCAGTGTGGCTGGGTGACGTCCCCCTGGCCCCTCCCCAGCGCTGTGCCATGCTGGGATCCTGGAGCCACAGCCATCCCTGGGGACCCTGGGGGCTGTACCCCACTGAGATGTGGTGGCTGCAGCTCTGTGATGCCCCCAAAGTCCCTGCTGGGTGCCCTGTGGGACAGGTGTGTTATCCCTTGTCCCTTGTCTCCAGCCCCAGTGTGAAGGCTGAGACCTGTTGAGCCCCACAATTCCCACAGCTCACACGTGTCAGAAGTGACAGCTCCTGATCCAGGCAGGAGAAATGTGTCAGGACCATGTCCATGGGCTCTGCCCCATCCTCAGAGCATGTCAGGGTGCCTGAGGGGCACCTTCAAACCCAGAATGAGGACTCCTGACTTTCTTTCCTGGGTTACTCCTGGGTTTGCTCCATACCTCAGTTTACCCCTCTGTAGCTTTCCTACAGAGTCCAGCACTGATGTCTCTGCTTTTGGATGCCTGGCAGCTCCACATCCCTACATCCCTGCTCCAAGGTGACTCCCTTCCCCCAGAACCCCTGGCCCCCACCTCCCGTTCCAGCCTGCAGCCAGAAAGGATTAAGGCAGGAAGTGAGAAAACAAACAAACACGTGGGGAAAACCCAAACAAACTCAGCGCAGCGAAGGAGGCAAAGAGCCTCTGTGCAAATCTTTGCCTGGCTCCCAGGAACCTGCCGGCATCCCTGCGCTCCGCCCGGGGCTCCCTGGGGATTTAGAGCGTCGGGATGAGAGTTTGGCCGTCTTGCCTGGCATTGGAAGCTGCTGGTGAGGAAGGAGAAGGACCAAAATTAGTTATGATGGGCAGAAATTGAATTTTAATAGAGCTGTCGGTGGCACGGAGCCAGCCCGCTCAGGCGGCGGCAAGGTTGTAATTAAAAGTTAACGAGTTTAGAAACAGAGTAATCCTTGGAGAGGGAAGGGCTGGTGCTGATGGCCAGGGAGGCTCGGGGATGCTGCTGGCCATGCAAGAATCACGAGTGGCTGTGGGTGTGTTGGCAGCATGGGTGAAGGATGTGGGGTGCAGCCAGTCCTTCCCAGCTTGGTGCTGGCATGTCCCACCTGGTGTGTCCCCCCTTCCAGGGACAGGAGGGACCTTTCCCAGCACCTGTCTGTACCAATGAGGGGGACACCATGCTTTGGAGCAGGGCAATATACTGTAGGAGGCTGTGCCCAGGGACTAGCTGGGCTTGGTGGCATCACTTCGTGGTTCCTAGCCAGACTTGGTCCCATCACCTCGCAGTTCCCAGCCAGCCTTGGTGGCATCACTGTGGTTCCCACCCAGAGAGCAGTGTATCTCCAGGCATTTCATCCTCATCCTCCTACTGCTGCTCCCCAAATCCTCTCCTGAGCAGAGCCTCCCACCGGCACTGCCAGCTGCAATCACCCGTGTGTGCTGTACCCACTTTGGGGGCTGTGTGCAGGGGCTCGCAGCCCCCAGTGCCCTCGGACGGCCCCACCGCATCCCTCAGTGATGGTCGCAGGAGCTCTCTCCACATTTCAAGGGAATGAGCTGCTCTCCCAGTTTGGCAGCGTGTTTCCATAGCGACCGCCCTTTCCTTCCCGCAGCGGCTCCACCGCGGCTGTTGGCGTGTGGCGAGGGACAGGTGGGCAACGCACTCCGCAGGTCCCTGGTCCCGAGCTGGAGAGGACCACAGCACTGCCGCTGCGTGCAGGTGGAGCTGATCCCTTGGGAGCATCCCTAGGGACTGCAGGGGAATCACACACCAGCTTGGCAATATGTGCTGGTGGAGCCATCCTCCCTCAGGAGCATCCCAGGGGATCAAACGTGATGAGGGACCCCCAGAGGGATTGGGGACCAGCCTGGCTCTGTGTGTGTGTGTGTGTAGTCAGCCCCACCTCGGGAGCATCCCTGGGGACTACAGGGGGAATCAGGGACTAGCCTGGCTTCATGTGCATGCAGAGCCATCATCCCTCAGGAGTATCCCTAGGGATTGGGCATGATGAGGGACCCCACAGGGATTGAGCAACAGCCTGTGTGTGTATGTGTAGATATCCTCCCTTGGGAGCATCCCTAGGGACCATGGGGGGATCAGGGTGTCAGTTGGACTCTGTGTGTGTGCGAATGGACCAATCTCCCCTGGAGGCATCCCTGGAGACTGTGGGCAGTTAGGGACCAGCCTGGCTCTGTGTGTGTGCCCATGGACCTGTGTCCCCCATAGGAGCATCCCTGGGGACCATGGAGGGATCAAGGACCAGCCTGGTTTTGTGTGTGCCCATGGACCTGTGTCCCCCATAGGAGCATCCCTGGGGATGGCATGGAATTAGGGACCACCCTGCCTTCCCTCCTTGCTGCCTTCATTGCCAGTCACTGGCATGTGATTCAGAAAACATCTCCCCCATGGGATGCCCACTGCCTCCTGCTCCAGGGACCCTGATGCCTGCTGTGACCTCTGCTGAGGTGCCAGCAGGGTGGGTGGCACAGCCACACTCTCCACTCCGGTGCCCTGGCACTGCTCTCCAGGGCTGGCTCTGTTTTTCCATGCAGAGTCTCTCTGGTGCCAGACTCAGTGAGCTCTCCGGAGCTCGACTGCTCCTCGGACGAGGAATCATAACATGCAAATCAGGCGGCTTGATGTCTTTAATGAAATCCTCGGAAGGAAAGCGCTTCTCTGGTGAATTGAGGATATTTATTTCTCATACAAGAAATTTAACATGCAGATTAGTTGGGGCTGGTAATTTATCACATGAGATTGTCCTATTAAGGGTTGCATCGAGTCCTGCTGCCTTTGGAAATTACCTTACACATAGATTACCTCTGGACAGACTCCCATCCGTAGGGATGCATCTTCTAGCTCCTAAATCAGCCCTTGTGCCTCTCCATATGCCCTTCCTCAGCTAGTGCACGAGCCCAGCAGCTACTAGAGGATCTCCTGCCTTTTCCCAGGAGCCCAGATCCTTTTTGCTGGGAACTTGGAGCCTGGAAAAGTGTAATTCCATGTCCAACACCAGCTGGCTTTGCCCCAGCTTTCCCCAGCCAAGCAGGGCTGGCACGGCTGAGCCTCCCAGTGCCACCCCCCTGCCAGCCCCAACACGTGGTGCCTCTGATCCATTCCCAGCTACTTCCAGGAGCTTTTCTGCATTGGCTCAGCAAGATGTGGGACAGATTTGGGGCTGTTTTGGGGTGCATGTCCTGTAGGGATGCAGGGGAGACAGTACATTGCACACACAGGACCCTGCCAAACATCTATGGCCTGCTGAGGACTCAAAATGCTTGGTGCCCAGAGTTTGTCTTCAGCTTCTATAATACAGAACCAAAAGCCTCTCAAAAACACAGACCTGGGGGCAAACAGGGTGATTCACCCCTGAGTTCATCCTGGGACCCCAACGCGTGCTGCTGCTTGCTGGGAGCTCATCCCAGCCCTGGTGGGTCCAGCTCTTTGCCAGCCCAGGCGTGAAGCCCAACCCTCTCCCCTGGGGAGCTAATTACCATGCAATCATTTAATTAATGGGAGCTGATAAACATGGGAGGGGTTGCAGCCAGGCTGGGTGGGACCTCAGCAGGGAGTTCCTGGTGTCTGTGGCTCTAGCCTGGCCCATATCACCTCTGATGTTGCTGCATGTGGCAAAGCCCCCTGAGTGCTGGTGAGGAGCTGGTAACTGGCAGCACGGGGTGGGTTTTCGTGGGAATGCTTGTGCTGGGAAAGCTCCTGCCTGTCTCTGTTCCTTGTTTGGAGTTGGAGGGGAGACTGTGGGGTTGGTGTGAGTGAGCAGCAGCGCATATTGGGCACAGGGCAGTGGTCCCAGGGAGCTATGCCAGCATTGGGGTGGGCAGGAGGCACATGGACAAGGAGATGGAGAGGATCTCCTCGATGGGACCTCACGTGGGCTCAGATAGTCTGACAGGGAACTCTCAGCCCTGGAGATGCCACAAGAGCTGGGTGATGGCCAAGCTGCTGGTGACTGATGCGTTGGAGCACTCCGGATGCCGCAACACGGATCGAGGCTTGTGCGCTCACTTGGTCCCTGCTCGGCAGGAAGGAGGCTGATTAATACACAGGCATTAATTATTAAATGGCTCATTGTTCTGGCAGGGCCAATTGAGGCAGCGATTTACAGGGCCACCGGCGCCCGCCCAATTCCCCTGACCAAAGGAAAACACTTCAGGCGAGCAGAGAGGCGAAGGCCACGTGTGTCAAAACAGAGCCCGTTCCAATCAGGAGCTAATTGAGATCCAATAACACAGTTAGCAGGGGCTGATGGAATACCAGGGGGGTGTTTAAAGCAGTATTGAGTGCTGGCCTGGTGCGGGTGGAGGTGTCGGGACACGCACTCGGATGCTGCGAGTCGTTAAACCTCTGCTAAGTGTGTTTTAATGCTCACTTGACATTTCATTATCCCACAATAACTATTCAAACGCACGTCCCCTCCTGAATTAATTAGTCGTTATACAGGATATTAATCAAAGGGGACTGTGCCAATGTGCTTCCACCCCAAATCCGATCCAGCTGTTGCTGTTCCTGGGCGGCATTGGAAGAACCTCACAGATTCCTGAGCTCTTCTGGCTTTTCAATTTGATGGATCAAATCCTTTGGCTGATGCTTTTCCCGGCCCCTCTCCACCCCCTCAATCTAAGAATAATTCGGCAGTGTCAGCCCCACGCTTCTCTGCAGCCCTACAATAATAGAGCCACGGCAGCAGCCAAGGCTGAGGCAGAGCCGGAGCGGCGCCGGGAGCAATCCTACTGGAACACCACGGTGCTGGTGCCATGCAACTGGTCACGGTGCTGTGCCCTGCCTCTGCCGTGGGAGCCTGGAAGGATGGATGGATGAATGGATGGATGGATGGAGAGGTTGTCATTCCCGACGTGCAGCCATCCATCTGGCAGATTGATCCGGTGCCAAAGCTGCTTCTGCAAACCCTCTGGTCCCCTGGCACAGGGCTCCTGGCTCTGGTGCCTCCTCCTGACCTCGGGGCTGAGCAGGGCACAGCCACTTCCTGACGGAGCCTGGAGGCTGCTGCTGTTTTCCATCAGAGTGTTCTTTTTGCAGCGTGGGTCAGTCCTTGCTGCGGAAGGGCTTTTCCCCGTGGAGAATGCCCTGTCAACCTCTGTCTTCACAGAGAAGCCAAACAAACCCCTGGAACAGCAGAGTCAGCAGTGAGGACTGTGCCAGGAACTTGGCCAGAACTCACCTCTGTCCTGGCTGGAGTGAGGGCAGATGGGCAAAGCCACACGGTTGGGGCACGGGGATCGATCCCGAGTGGAGGAGCTGCTTGCACAGCACAGAGCCAGGAGCTCTTGGCCATGCAGGAGCTGCTGTGGCTCAAACTGGGAGAGCTGCATGGGGTGACATTCGCCCTCCTCCTGCCTCTAGCACATCTCTCTGCGAGGGGGTGACACCAGGGGTGACATTGGGGGTGAAATCAATTCCCATCCCCTTCCAGCCAAGCGTGATGGGGGAAGGAAATCAAATCCGAGCGGTGCTGGATGAAAGCCTCCGCGGAAGGCGAGCGGGAGAGAACAAAGTGTGTGCTGCTGTGGTTGATGACTGCGGGCTGGGCTGCGCCGGCAATTGATTTCCTTTCTCCAGGCTATTTTCAGCCGCTGAGGTGTGTGTGTGTGGAAGTGCCACTGCTTAATAACTCCTCCAGCTCCGGTGTGTGGGGTCTTGGCTCCCTTAATTGGATCTGCAGGGGTGTCCCCCCTGCGGGGCAAAGACTCCTTGTGTGCAGGGAGGTGTCTTGTGTGTGTGTGGACAAGGCTGTGCTGGGGGCTGTGGGTGCTCCATTCATGGGTGCATCCCTCCATGAGGATGTTTTGGGTCCCGTGGGCTTTGAGCTGTTCCCCTCCCAGGATGAGGGTTGTGGGGGGGATGTGACAGTGAGGATGTGGTACACAGGGATCTGTCATGTGTTTGGGGACAAGGCTGTGCTGGAGGGCAGTGGGTGCTCCATCCGTGGGTGCATCCCCCTGCAAGGGTGGGGATGTTTTGGGTTCCATGGGCTTTGCACTGTCTTCCTTCCAGGATAAGGGTCTGGAGAGGATATGGCAGTGAGGATGAGGTGCACAGGGATCTGTCTGGGGGCAGGAGTGCCCCTACCCAGCTGAGCATCAGCCAGTGTCCGTCCACCCGTCCATCCATGCGTATGTTCGGGAGTCACGGTGTGATTTATTAGCGAGGACACCACAAGGAGAACGGGCCCATTATTCCTGGCGTCTGCATCCGCTCCTGACAGCTCCGTGGAATTGAAATATCTTATTTAAAGCCTCTGGGGAGCATTTTTAAATATCAGCCGTGACACTCAAGGACTCGTTCCCAAAGGGCATCCTCCCTCCTCCCGCGGGGACGGGTGACCCCGGCACACCACGTGGGTGGGTGTCAGCACTGGGGTTGATGCCAGTCCTGCCATGCCTACCTCGTCCCCATGGTGCCACCAGACAAGGTGGGAGCCCCATGTCCCTGTTACCATCTCCCATGCAGGGATGTGGGTGTGGGGGCTGCTGTGCTTCCTGGCAGAGGGAATGTGCTCCTCGGCTCTTATGAAAGTTTAATTTACGCTCAGCCCTCAGAAGAACAAACAAAGCTCTGCTGAAAGAGCCCGCGGCGTCTCTTAACACAAGATTAGATTTTGGGCAAGGAGGGCTGAGCTTGCTGTATTTATTCCCTCTCTGCTTTATCTTGGAGCACTCCCCATTGGGGATGGTGATGCTGCAGCACCTGCCTGGCCCCCCCCAGACACTCACCTCTCTTTTCTGGGGTGATGGAGCAGGAATATCTCTACCCCTCCTTGGGGTGGGCACTGCTTAGAGAGGTCTGGTGGGAACAGGGTCCTGCTCAGGGACCTGAGCAATGCTTGGGGGTGGATGAGCAGAGATGTGGTTATTCCCTTTATCTACTGATCGTCTGCTGGCGCTGGTGGCTGATAAGAGCAGGCACAGGGATGATAAGGGGGTTCAGCTGTGACTCATCAGAGCAGTGCTGGGCTTGGCCACACACAGGTCCAGGCTGAGTGACACCAGCAGACCTCAGTGTCACTGCTGGGGCTCAGTGCAGGGGTCAGGACAGCGGGTGCCAGTCCCCAGGAGCCACCCCACATTTGACAGCTTGAAGCCTCTTGTCCAGTGCCTCCAGCTCACGTTGGTAGGTCACATCCACCCCCTGGGCCAGGAAGGTGACGGTCACCAGTTCATGCCATGTGTGTGGGGTGAGGAAGCACCTCCTGTGTGTGTGGCAGTGAGGAACACAGTGACTCCCCAGCATGCACACACGTGTGTGTGCACACATGGACATGCCTGCATGGATGCACACATGCATGGACACACACCTCCTCAGGGAAGGAGACAGAACCTGGTGCAGGTGCTGCTGCCTGGCAGTAAATAGGGGGAGCGTGTAGGACCTGCAGCCTCTCCCAGGGGCTGTGATGGTGACATGGATGTCCCCCCACTGCTGAGGTGGCTCCTCTCTCCCACAGGTACATGATCACCTCTCTGGACCGCACACACGCCGGGTTCTACCGCTGCATCGTCCGCAACCGCATGGGAGCTCTGCTGCAGCGCCAGACCGAGGTGCAGGTGGCCTGTAAGTGTCCATCCTGCTCCACAGGGACCTGGGGACACTCAACTCCTGGTGCTGTGGGTCAGCTCTGGCATTGTTACCACTTATGGCCAACACACAGCAGTCAGGAGCATCCCTGGGGTGATGCTGGCAGGGACATTCAGAGCATCCCTGGAGTGATGCTGGCAGGGACATCTGGAGCATCCCTGTGGCAATGCTGGAAGAGATGTCTGGAGCATCCCTGGGGTGACACTGGCAGGGATGTCTCAGGAGGGCATGAGAGTTCTGAGGCCTGGAATGGTGGCTCTGTCCCCACAAGGATCTGTCCCTCTCTGTCACCCCTTCCCTCTGGGATGCCCTAAATCCCATCCCCTTAAGTACTTTCCTGAGGAGCAGTGACAAATCAGGAAGCTAATGAGAAATTAATAAGGCAGCTGTGCTAACAACTAATGATAATGGCAAAGTCGTTAAAAAAGGATTCTTTACATGTTTTTAATTACAGCAATTAAGAGAAGTCAATAAAAATCCCATGCCCCCCCTCCCCCTCCATGCCCCCCTCTTCCCACTATTTTCCTCAACTAATGTGTGCTTCCAGCTTGGGAATTGTGAGGTGGGATGGAGGCAGCTATGCCATATCCTTGCCTGTGTGATGCTCCTGGTGCTGGGCCATGGGTTGAGGCATGGAGAGAGGTCAGGGAGCCCTGGGACTGAGCCTTCCTTGGTGGAGAACACATGGGCAGGAGTATCTGACCTGGTTTGTGGGCAGTGCTGGAGGGAAGGATCATAAGGAGCAGCCAGTGGGATCTGAGCTACCTCCCACCATCCCACACACTGAGCCAGCCAACTCCCCAGCCGAGGAGGGGACAGTGAGCAGCCCCTGTGGGAGCCCATCCCCACAGCCTCCAGCCTGCTCCCCAGCCAGACCTGAGCCTGGATCCCTGGGCACATTCCCAGCCCCTGACATGGTTCTCCCACCTGTTTTACAGACATGGGGAGCTTTGAGGACAGCGAGACGCAGCAGAGCGTGTCCCATGGGGAGGCAGCTGTGATCCGCGCCCCACGCATCGCCAGCTTCCCCCAGCCACAGGTCACCTGGTTCCGGGATGGAAGGAAGATCTCCCCCAGCAGCCGCATGTGAGTACCCCCAGGATGCCCCCACTGGCATCCCCCAGCATCCAGGGGGCTGCATTTCCCCTTATCCCTGCTCTGGGGATATTTAACCAATGTCTTGAGCGCATTGTGCTAAACCCCAGGGACAGAGTTGGTGACTAACGGCTGTTTGTCATCAGAGAAACGAATTTTTTTTAATGAAAAATGGAAATAAGAGGGAGGAAGGCAGGTGGAAGGGTGTGATGGACACTCACAGGTATTCAGGTGTCCCTGTGGGGCTGTGGCACATCCCAGTGCTGCTGGAGCCCAGCGCTGGCAGCCGCAGTGTGTGGGAATTGAATTTGTAACCCCCATTATGCAGGAATTGAACTGGTCTCCTTTCCATTTGCAAAGCAGGATTGAGGAGATAAAACTCCTTTATCTCATATTTAATGGTAAAAAAAATGTATTCCCCAAAGCATTTTATGTTTCCTGCAGATTAGATCATTCCATTAAATAAAAAGATAGAGAAGTCCTATGAATCTGCACCTTCCAATGGGCTTTGCTCAGTGTGAGGGTACAGGGCTTGGGACTCCCATCCTGGGTGGGGGACCTGGGGTGGGTGGGAGGAAGGCTGGGGGTCCCATGTGGGTGCTCCCAGGCAGGTGGGAGGGAGGCTGGGGGTCCAATGTGGGTTTTTTTTGTGGGTGCCCCTGGTCAGGTTAGAGGAAGACTGGGGCTCCCATGTGGGTGCCCCAAGGCTGGTGTAGGTGCTGGGTGAGGAATGAGGGTCCCAGCTTGCTGCATCAGTGTCTCCATTGTGTTCACACCCTGACTTACACCACCCACTCCTCCCTGTAGTGCCATCACACTGGAGAACACTCTGGTCATTCTCTCCACGGTGGCCCCAGATGCAGGACGTTACTATGTGCAGGCAGTGAATGACAAGAATGGGGACAACAAGACGAGTCAGCCCATCACTCTGACTGTGGCCAGTGAGTGTGGGGGCCCTGCTCCCCCCCTGCCCTGCTCCCCCTCGTCCTGCCTTTCCCCCAAGTTTAATTTGCAGTAAATCTCTTTGGAGGCTCTGACTTGTGCTGACTTAACAGTTCAGCTGCCTCAAAATTTATTTAGGCTCCCAGGGCTGTGCTGCAGGCACTGGTGTGTCACAGGAGGAGCTCCTGCTCCCACTCCAGATGGATCTATCCATGCCCTGGGAATGGGCTGTCACATGGGATGCTGCAGTGTCACCCCTGCCCTCTGTTCCCCTCTCAGCCCCTGGTGCTGCACACGAAACCCTCCTTAGGGACACCTCTGTGCCCTCATCCCTCCTGTCCCTTAGGACCCTCCAGGACCTCAGCCTATTTGGGTGGTCATAGCCCATCCCATGGGAGATGCTCCAAAGTCACATCAATCCTCTTGGACTCTTCTCCCGTTGCTCCATGGGTGTTATCCCTATCCATGGTGGGCTCTGCCTGTCCTCCTTCCCCATTAATCTGTTTCCCATCCCTCAGTGTCCCGGAGTGCCATAAACTTCCCAGAGCTCCTGTTTATGGATTCAGCTCTATCAGCAGCTTTCGAGCCGATCATGTTTTCACAGTGCCTACATGAGGGTTTTTTATTGTTGCCATCATTTTGCTTTATGTACTCCCTGCTCCCTCCTCCCTGCCTGCCACCAGGCTGGTGGCCGTGCCGTGAGGTGTCATGGGAGTGATTAGGGAGAACTGGGAAGGCTCCTGAAGCCAAGGTGATGGTCCCTGTCACCTCCATGCCAAGCACATCTGGGGGCTGGGGCACTCCAGGGGTGGGCAGGGGGTGCTCACGGCTGTCCTTCTGGCCTCCTTCTCCCCAGATGTGGGTGGCCCAGCTGATCCCATTGCACCCACCATCATTGTCCCACCCAGGAACACCAGTGTGGTGGCTGGGACCTCAGAGGTGACCATGGAGTGTGTGGCCAATGCCAGGTGAGCTGTGGGGTGGGGATGGAGATTCCTCCCTTTTGGCATTGCCTGGCCCCAGGGTTGTCTGCATCCAAGTCCCATCTCACCATGGCTCTGGGATCCTGCAGGATGGAAGGAGGTGGGGGCTGAGTGATCCCAGTTTCTTTCCCACCATGACTCTTGGGTCCTACAGAGAAGTGGGAGGGCTGAGTACACCCAGGTCTTTTCCCATCATAGCTCCTGGATCCTGTAGGTTGGAAGCAGGTCCTTTCCTACCACAGCTCCTGAGTCTTGTGGGATGGAGGGAGGTGAATGTCTCAATGGGGGCCGAGTCTGGCTCTTGACATACTCCTGGCCCCCCCAGGCCACTGATAAAGCTGCACATCATCTGGAAGAAGGATGGGGTGCCCCTCTCCAGCGGCATCAGCGACTACAGCCGCCGCCTCACCATCCTGCACCCGGTGCTGAGTGACAGTGGCTACTACGAGTGTGAGGCTGTGCTGCGCAGCAGCAGTGTGCCTGCTGTGGCTGCGGGTGCCTACCTGTCTGTCCTGGGTGAGCACCTGCCCTTGGGCAGCCCAAACCATGAGTGTCATGAGCTGGGGCACTCTGAGCCCCAGGGCTGAGATGGGAAGGGTCTCAGGTCTATCACAGCCCTCTGCCCAACGCTGGGTTCCCTTGGCAGAGCCCCCACAGTTCATCAAGGAGCCAGAGAGGCACATCACAGCCGAGATGGAGAAGGTGGTGGCCATCCCCTGCCAAGCCAAGGGTGAGACACTCCCCAGCATCCTCCCTGTGCCACTGAGACCTTGTGTGTGATGTGGCTCTCTCCTTGCAGGTGTCCCCCCTCCCGAGATGGCCTGGTACAAGGATGCTGCCCTCATCCACCTGGAGAAGCTGTCGCGCTTCCAGCTGCTGGAGGATGGCAGCCTGCAGATCAGTGGGCTGGTCCCCGACGACACCGGCATGTTCCAGTGCTTCGCCCGCAACGCGGCTGGAGAGGTGCAGACCACCACGTACCTGGCTGTGACCAGTAGGTGCCAGCCCCTCCTGCCTTGGAATCTGGGGTGCCCTGCCCAGGCAGTGGGTGGGATATGCATGGGACACCCCGATTGTACTCTATGGGAGGCTGAGGGAAAACAGGAAACCTTCCTCTTTGGATCGGACCCCCCCCAGTGCCCCTGGAGTGAGTCACCACCTCCAGACTGGGCTCTGTGTCTCTGTGCCCTACAGGCATTGCCCCCAACATCACTCGGGGTCCCCAGGACAGCACAGTGATTGATGGCATGTCTGTCATCCTCAACTGCGAGACCTCAGGGGCTCCTCGCCCAGCCATCACCTGGCAGAAAGGTAAGGGGATGGGGGCGCTGGGGTGGGTGCTCTGCAGAGCCTGCTCTGCCCTGCCCCTGGGCTCGGTGGCCACCAGGGTTGGGGGGGGGGCCATGGACTTGGGG